GCAATATATGAAAGTCTAAGAATTTTCCAGAACTGAAGAAAGATCTGAGTCCTCATAGAGTTCAAAGTGGGATAAATACAAACAAATCCACACTTTTGCAGTGAACAACAATAAGAATAAAAACAAAGTCTTTAAAGTTGCTGGGGGGGGGGAATTCCGTTCAAAAAAACAATTAGACAAACAAGCAGACTTCCAATTGGCAACAATAGGAGCCAGAAAAAAGTGGAATAATATCTCTAAACACAGTGAAACCATACTTGTCAGCCTAGAATTCTTTACTTAACTAAACTGTCATTACAGAGTGAGACCAAAGTAAAGATCCTTCCAGACACCAAGATTACTAGGGCTCAGGGGTGCCTGGCTGGGTCAGTCAGAAGAATGTGTGAATCTTGATCTCTCAAGTGACCTCTCACTTGGGGGTCAAGGGTTTGAGCCCCACGTTGCATGTAGAGATTACTAAAAAAATAAACTTAAAAAAAAGATTCATAGAGTTTACTACTCACAGGCTGTCACTGAAAGAACTATTAAAGAGTGCAAATCAACAAGAAAAAAAATGAACTCACAAGGGAGAAATGGAATGCAAGGTGCAGTGGTCATCAAAGCTTTTGGTAAAAAAGGTAAAAAACTAATACTGAGGAGGAACCTAGCTGACTCAGGCAGAAGAGCATCCGACTTTTGATCTTGGTGTCTTGAGTTCAAGCCGCACGTTGGGTGTAGAGATTACTTAAAAAAAATACTGAAAAAGTCAGGTTTTATAAATAACATGGAACTAAAATCCTAAACAACAATAACAAAAGAGTTGGCAAAAAGGCATTGAGAAGGAAGGCAATGCATTCTGAAATTTTCTTTTTAACAACTTTAGATTTTGTTAGCATCCATGTAGTTAACTACAAGTAGGAAATTCAAGTGTAGCTTCTATGATGTTTAGATTGATCAAAATTAAAGATGGCCACAAATCCTTTGTCACTCGTCCCATCATACCCCTTGGATCTGTTTTTTTTTATCTGAAAGAATGAAATGATGCTGTGTAATATTGAAGGCTGGGCCTTAAGATGCCTACAGCTTATGACTCCAGCTATTGGAATGCTCCTTCTTGAAATCCAGTCGCCACACTATGCAGAGGTTCAAGCAGCCATGTGGAAAGGCTGAAGAGGAGAACCAAGGTCCCCAACCAACAGCTCCAACTAAGCTCCCAGCTAGCGGCCAGCACGAATTGCCAGTTGTATTAGGAAGGCTTTTTTTAGACCCTTTTGCTCTCTCAATGCCCCAGTCACATGAAGTAGAATTGATAAAAAAATTTTTGTTTTAAGCCATTCAGGTGGAACGGTTTGTCATGCTGCAAAAAATACCTGAAACAAAATAAAAATAATATTTATACCTTCCAAACAAATAGATGAAATTAGCTAAAGAAAACCTGATCAGTCCAATAGCACCTGGATGGCTCAGGAAGCTAGCTGTTGGAAGAACATGCTACTCTTGATCTCAGGGTGGTAAGTTCAACCCCACTTTGGGTGTAGAGATTACTAAAAAAAAGAAAACTTGATCAATCCAAAAGGAAGTTCTAAAGAAGAAAAATTAATAAGCAAAGAAGAGAAGCTTCTCACAGCCCCATGTTACCTCTCACAAATGGCCTTTCTGGAAAAGCAATGAAGCTTTGGGTTTTACTCTGATTCGAGCAGGACCTTGACCCTCCTGGTCTTCAGAGAGGCAAGGCCTGGCCATGGAGATGGCATGTGAGCAGTGACAATGTTTGTGTCCTTTCTTTGCTACTTTCTGGGCTCCCAGCTGCTGGCAATAGCTCTGACTGAGCCACAAAAACCCTTTGGTCTAATTAAAAAATAAAATCAAAGAAAGAAAGGAAACTTTTTATCACACTATTCTAATGGTGGAAAATAGTTTCAGGCATAAAAAAAGCATTCAGCAGGCTACTTCCCAGGTGTCAAAAATTAACAGCCACTACATTTTATTCTGAGGAATTAATGGAAAATTTTACATGGTGGGCGTAAAATGTAGGGAACAAGATGAAGGACACTATCCTTCATTGAAAGCTCACTCCCTCACTTGCAGCAAAGACACAGGGTTGGCCACCTGCTCTGAGCGGGAGCTGTAGGCTCACAGAAGACCAAGTGGGTTATGCAGGGCCTGAAGGGGCAGATGGGGGAAATCAGGTACTTAGTAGCTTCATGACCTTAGCCAAGTGACCTCTCACATCCCTAGTCTCTACCTCTGTAAAATGGCGCACCCCTCCCAACTTGTCCCATCTTCCCTGGCTCGAGGGGCCTCCCAGGTGCACTCCCAGGGACATGGGCCCAAGCTCTTCCTGTTTCCACAAGAGTTCATTCTAAAGCACAGCAGTGAGCTAACCCTCCACGGAGGTGGGGAGGACCGGGTTTATATCACTCATTCTATAGCAAACTGAACATCCCGTTTGGAGCAAGCACCAGTCACTGTCTGGGGAGTGGGATGGAGGTGGCAGGGGGAGTACGGGGAGGTGGTTGGTTGTTGTTGTTGTTTTTAATGTAATTTAAGTATATTTAAATATATTTGGGAAGAAGAGCGCATAATTGACTGCTATATAATGTCCATCCTTTTTTTTTTTTTTTTAAAGATTTTATTTATTTATTTGACAGAGAGAGAGACACAGCGAGAGAGGGAACACAAGCAGGGCGAGTGGGAGAGGGAGAAGCAGGCTTCCCGCTGAGCAGAGAGCCCGACGTGGGGCTCTATCCCAGGACCCTGGGATCATGACCTGAGCCGAAGGCAGTTGCTTAAACAACTGAGCCACCCAGGCGCCCCTGACCTTGTTTTTTATTTGAAATATTTCTGAATCCAAATTTGTGGCCTCCTGAATATCTCCTCTCACATCCCATCCCCCACTCAGGGAACTCAACATTGGCCACAGCTGCTCCCCACCCCCTACCCCCAAATCCCAGTCTGGGTGCCGTGCTGGCCTCTCCTCCGATTCCAGCATCCAACAACCCTGATCCTACCTCTGGAACCTCCTTCAGGTCTGTCCCCTGTTCTCCACATCTGCTGCCCCTACCCCAGTAGAGGGCCCACCATCACTCACCTCCCCTCTGGTCTTTGCACAACTGAAGTGAGCTTTCTAAACACAATGTGCAATCTGGTCCCTCCCACTGCTCCAAGCCTTCAGTGGCTCCAAGGGTTTCAGGACAACATCCACACTCCTCACCTGGCATCAACACCCTCCAGGACCTTTCCAATCTCATCACTCATCACTCCCTACTTGGGAGCTTGGAGCTACACAAGAGCCCTGCATCTCCCAGCTAGTTCCTGCCACCGTGCCTTTGCCCATGCTGTGCCCTCTCCCTGGCATGCCCTTCCCTCTCTCCATTTCTCTACCTTGTGTCCGCATCCCCAACACCCACACCCACTACATCTCCAGATCCTTTATATATCACCTCTGTAACACCTTCGAGCCTGGTCCGACCAATCAGCAACTCTGTTCAAAAACATGTGTGCTGGGAACACGGCACTGAGTCAGACTGTGATCCTGCCCTCAGCACCCAATCTGGTGAAAAAGACACAGATACAGATGATTAAATCCTGTTTTGATGACACGGGGATGAAGGACACTTACCGGCTTGCGTTCCAGAAGAAACCCTACCATAGCCAGAGAGGCTGAAGAAGTCTTCCTGGAGAGACAGGCCTAGAAGGGGAGAAGGTACTCAGCAGCGGGGAAGGAAGAGTCAGCAGGACAGAGAGCACAGCATTCGCAAAGGCCGGGGGTGCCCCTTCCAACAGGGGCCCAGCCTAGCCTCAAGAAGTCTCCTCCCGGTGGCTCGTAGGCTGGGAGCATTTCCAGTTCTTAGAGCACTGCCCAGAGGAAATCTCTCCATGAAGACGAAGATTTATTTATTTGGTGGTAAAGTGAAAGCCAGGCTGGAGTTGGGCAGGAAAAGGACAGAAAGGATAATAAAGAGGCAGGGAGAGGACAGGCCCCTCCAGCCCCGGGGTCCCTGAGCCAGCAGCTGCCCTCAACTCAATGCTCCTCCAGAAAGGTGCCTCCCACAAGCACACAGTGAGCGCCTGCTGTTTCCCACTTTGTGCCGGATGCTGGGATCCTGTGGCAAAGACGACAAAAGCCTTGCTGGCGCCAGAGACAGACACACCCTAGACAGGGACAGGCCAGAGGGGCTGGTGCTGCGGTGGTAGGAACCCTGGGGGCCAGGAGAGCCCAGAGGAAGGCCCTGACCCAGCCTGGTTGGTGTGGGGGGCAGGGAAAGGGGGCAGGCAGAGACAGCTTCCAGGGGAAGTGGGCCAGGAAGAGGAAAGTGTGTAAAGATGCTCCCCAGCCATGCCTTGCTCCCCTGGGTGGGTACAGGTCTGCAGTCCTCAGGGGCCCCATCATGGGACAACCTCTGTGGCTCTGCCCCTTCCATCCCTCAGCTCCCACCCCGGCAGCCCACCTCAGACCTCCTGCTGCCTCTGAGTCCTTGTCCTCACAGACAGCTCTGGCCAGCCTCCTCCTCTGTGCAGCCCCTCCCTGGCCACCCACATCTGGTCCAGGGCGGAGAGGCCAGGTGACTGCATAAGCAGAGCCCCCCATGTGGCAGAGATGCTCATCTGCCCTTCGGGGGGTCCCCATCTCTGCAAATGCTCCCTTTGGAGGTCCCCCATCCTCCCCCATAGGGAGGAGACAATCACCCCCCACCCCCACCTCCGGGGCTGACAACTGGCAGTCCAGTACCTCTCTCCTCTGTCTCTCATGGTTTTCTGCTTCTGGAGACAGGACAAGGGGATAGGGGCTGGCGGTGGGGCTGGGGGTTACAGTTGGAATAACAGAAATTGCTGGACTGTCTTTTATAAGCCCTGAGGGTGTTTCTGGCCCGAATTCTAACTGAGCTCTTTAGAATGTGGGATACCTGGGGTACCTGGCTGCTTCAGTCAGTGGAGCATGGGTTGTGAGTTCAAGCCCCACGTTGGGAGTAGAACCCTGGAAAGATGCTCCCCAGCCATGCCTTGCACCCCTGGGTGGGTACAGGTCTGCAGTCCTCGGGGGCCCCATCATGGGACAACCTCTGTGGGATTTAAAAAAAAGAGAATGTGGGGTACTTGATGCTTTTGCCTATAGCTTTGGCCTTGGTCATCGTTGCTGGGGCAACAGGAAACTGTTCCATGCGTCCTCTGGTATGTGTGCGAAATATATAAACTCCAGAAGAGCAGGGACACCATCTGCCTTATTCACTGTTATATTATCCCCAGTGACTCACGCAGTACCTGACATAGTAGGTGCTCAGGAAACATTCGTGGGGAAAAAGGGAGGGACAGAGGGAAAGAAGAGAAGAAAGAAGTAACTTGGAAAGAGTCTTCCAGAATCCCAGAAAGCAAACCCTCTCTTCTTCAGCCGGGTAGAGAAGATGCACTTTTGGGGGCTGTTACTGTTCATTTTTAAAACTTCCATCAAGTGACTCCAAAATTCAATTCCCTCTTGAATGTTTTTCTTTTTTCATTTTCATCATCCCCCCTCTTTTTAACACTCACTGTTGAGTTTCCCGTTTGGAGCGGTTGATTGACTTGTGGCTCTGGGGACTTAGCCACAGTCATTTCAGACACTTAGAGCTCCAATCATGCCGCCACCACGCCAGCCCCCCTTTAGCGCCAGAGAAACCGTCTCCTATCAGAGCCGATTGTATCTTTACAGCCCAGACCGCCGCGCTCTAAAACATGGGCTGTAAAAATTCTCCGTGACTAATGTATGTCCAATGAAAATATAAAAATGCCTATTTAACGGGAGAAGGGCTGATTGGAAAGATCCACGTGTTGGTGAAGTTCCGTGGCTGACATCATACAGGGCCCGGGGCCTGGAAAAGGCTGGGAGCTCCGCCGCCCAAGAAGCCAGACCGTCCATTCCCTCAGGCCTCACGGAGGCTCGGCGGTCCTCCTGCCGCAGGGAGTGGCAGCCTGGGGAGGCAGGCAGAGGGAGGCAAGGCAAGAGAGCGCCTCGTGTGCCAGGCACTGTGCGAGGTACAGTCCCATGGAATCCGGAGAACGACTTCATGAGGTGAGATTTATTTTCACCCTTTTTGCAGAAGGGGCTTCCTGTGGGATCTCAAAGGATGAAGAGGAGTTAGCTGGGGGAAGAGGGCAGTCCTAGAAAGGAATTACATGAAGAGGGAACAGCATGTGCACAGGCAGGAGGCAATAAATAGAATAAAAGCAGTTTGGTATTGCTGAAGCAGGAAGAGAGGAAGGATGAGGCTGGAAGAGTGAGCAGGAGTCAAGTCACACAGAGTTCAGTGCACTTTGCCGAGTGGGGAAGGGACGGGGAGGCGCTAGCCAGGAGCTGAAGCCTGGAGGGATGTGTCATGGAGACAAAGTGAGCAGGAGTGGGTGACTGATTGGATGCCCAGGGAGGCTGAGGGGAGGAGCGGACCCAAGGATGGCACCCAGATTCCAGTCTCCAGGGCTGATGGTGGGGCTGCCTCTGACTCGGGGCTGCACGGGAGGCACAGGTCAGCGGAAAGATGCTGCACTGCACCATGGACCTCTGGGTTCATAGTGCTTACAAGGCGTGAGCCCAGGAGGAGAGGGTCTACCTCAGAAGTGGCCTGGGCCCAACTCAGAGGCACAGCTGCCAGTTGTCAGTTTGGTCCTTAAAGCCACGGAGCACAGGGGCTCACCTAGGACAGTGTGGGTGGGAGGCTGCAAATGGGCAGCCACAGGCTTCATCTGTCCCGCACACAAGTTCAGTTTGGCCTGCACGGTATTTTAAAAACCTTTGGAGCCAACGTTTAAAAATTATGCTCACTTAGGACGCCTGGGTGGCTCAGTCGGTTAAGCTTCTGCCTTCGGCTCAGGTCATGATCCCAGGGTCCTCGGATCGAGTCCCGCATCGGGCTCCCTGCTCGGTGGGAGGCCTAATCTACTGAGCCACCAGGCACCCCAGGGTTGCTGTTTATCAAGCAAAACAGGGAAGTATATATCTTTGTAGATGCCAAGACTATTTCTTTGCGTTTAATATGCAAAACAAGTCTGTGTCAAAAGCTTAGCCCAGGTCGGGCCTCTCCTCTCATTCACAAGACCTACTGGCAGTCCCTGATCTAGAGAGACATACCAGACAGAGAAAAAGAGAGAGACATCAGACATGGAAGGTGACACAGGATGTGCCAGGGGAGAGACTTTTAAGGAGAGAGTGATCGGCATCATTTAAGTTGGAGCTGAGTCAGCTAAGGCACGAGGCATCTGTGACAGGCAAGTGCATATAAGGCCACACGTGCATCCACACACAAAGGACACACATAGACACACGTGTGCGTACATACGTGCAGGCACATGGACACATGCACTGAGGCACAAAGACGCGTGTGTCCGCACAAAGGCACGCAGGCACCTGTGTGTTCACAGAGCCTCCCGAATCCGTGCACCCTCCCAGGGATCCGTGCTCACACCTAATGAAGCCCTGCCAGTTCCAAACCAGCAACTCGTAACTAAATAAATATGATAAACACTTCCCCTCCAGATGGCTCTGCATGCACACCCACTCCTCCCGCTCAGAGGGATGGCACATTCTATGCCAATAAATCCTTCTGTTTGAAAACATTTGCCTTCTTAATTGGCCCGTTTACGGGTAAAATACGTTTCTGGGTAGTGCTTTGCCAGAATGGGACGCTGAGGTGCCCACTCGCCCTGGGCTCAGCCCAGAATCAGGACTTAGGGCTGCTGGTGCCAGAGAGGTCCCGCTTCACCCATCCACAGAGACAAGACCCAAAGGGGAAGGGTCTCAGGACTGCCAGGGAGGCTCCCTCAGTGGTTTTTTCCTCCCTGTGCCTCAGTTTTTTTTCTCTGGGTACACACTTCTTGAGCTTAGCACATGCAGCGCTATCTAAGGTCTTTGCAGGAATCCTGCTTCACACTTCCCTTTCTTGGGCAGCAGAAGTGAGGTGTAATAACTATGCTAAACCCCCTAGTGGGTTGAATGGCAGCCCCCCAAAAGATCTGTCCACATCCAAATCCCTGGAACCTTTGAATGGGACCTTATTTCGAAAAAAAGATCTTTGCAGGTGTAATTAAATTAAGAATCTAACATGATATCATTCTGGATTACCCAGGTGGGCCCTAAATCCAATGACAAGTGCCCTTATAAGAAACAGGAGAAGACACACGCAGAGGAGGAGGTAATATGAAGGCAGAGCAGAAACTGGAGGCTACATACCACGGAATGCCAAGGCTTGCTGGCAAACTAGGCCAAGAAGCACTCTCCCCAAGAGGCCCTGCTGACATCTTGAGTTCGGACTTCTGGTCTGAACTGTGAAAAAAATAAATTCTTATTGTCTGAAGTCACTCAATTCGTGGTGATTGCTGCAGCAGCCCCAGAAAATTAATATGCCCCCTCTTTTATGTGGGGTATGACAACACAGAGCTGCGACTCAAATTTTCATTTGCTCTTTACTCTGACACTTCAGAGTTTCCAAAGGAGACTCACAGTAGAGATGGGGAAACTGAGGCCCAGAAAGGGACCGGGTGTCACGTGGCGGCAAAGCAAGGACCAGAACCCAGGATGCTGCCCCTCCTCGTGTGGCAGCCCCAGCCGTTTCTTCATCAGGAGCTGAGTGGGCAGATGCACAATGGAGGACAGCCCTGAGGTGAGGTTTACCCTCAGTACGTCCCATTCTGGGACCCACTGAGGAAGGACAGGGAAGAGAGCCCCTGAAGGGTCCCGTTTTCCTCTGCTCTAAGATGAGCCCAGATGAGTAAATCATGAAAATCCCTCATAGCCACTTTCCACCGAGCACTCGAGATGTTCCAAGTGTCTTGGCCACCTCTCCTTCCACGTGCCCACCCCCACCTGGGGAGATGGGTGAGGACATCTGTTCCCCCCTTGCTCAGGTGGGAGAGTGAGACCACACACCGGGTCACACGGCTCGTCACCAGTAGAGCTGGGATTTGAATGCAGGTCTGTCTGCTTCAAATGCCACTTGGCCATGTCACTTCACAGGGAAGAGAGCAAGGGCACCTTCCAGGGGCTGGGGAGCGACCAGGCCACTAGAAGCAGAGGGAGGCCTTGAGTCCTCTTTCCTCTCTCACCCATAACGAGCTGGTATATGGCTCAATGGCCCCAATGTGTCCAGGTCACCCACTGTGTGACCTTAGCCAAGCCACTTCCCGCTCGGAGCCTCCCTTTCCTGTCTGTAAAATGGGGTGCATGATAACAGCTACTCCTAAGGGCTTTTGTGAGGACTGATGGAAGGAAAACCCAAAAAGCCCTTATTAGCATGCTGAGCTTCCAGTAAGTGCTTAATAACTGCTGGCTGGCATTAAAGTCAGCTTAGAGGCCAGTGAGAGAGAATATATAGCCTCTGGCCACGGAAAGTCACTTGATGACCAAAGTGAGGCCAAGATGTCAGGCTATGGCCCTGCCTCTGTGCTCACCACTAGGGACACATACCCTCTGCTTGTGACTCAGCCCAACTGCCCTTCTGAGAGTTTGAGAGGTGCCCGAGAGAAATGTGCATGGCCAGGGAAGGGGAGAAAGCAGAGAAGGGGATGCTGGTAGGGCAGGCTGCCCCAACCGACACCAAGCCCACCTTTCCTGGAGGTCTGCAGGAGGAGCTCAGAATAGGCAGCCGCAGTAACATCCTCTCCCCTCTTTACGGGAACATCATCTGGATTTATAACCAGTGTGACAGCTGAGGGTTCAGTCTGGCTAATGGGAACAGAAACTAGATCATTAACATTAGCCAAGAGGGGCTGGCTAAAATTCAATGTAGGAAGAAAAAAGGTGGCAATATTGTCACCAAACCAGGTCCATTGAAGTCTCCCTGTTCTGCGGAGACAATCAATGATCATGTGGGGTTCCCATGCAGACCAAACATCTACTCTTTTTAAGTTCTCTCTACACCCAGTGTGGGGCTTGAACTTACAACCCCAAGATCAAGAGTCACACACTGCACAGACTGAGCCAGCCAGGTGCCCCTAAACTTTTTTTTTTTAAGAATTTATTTATTTAGGGCGCCTGGGTGGCTCAGTTGGTTAAGCGACTGCCTTCGGCTCAGGTCATGATCCTGGAGTCCCAGGATCGAGTCTCAGGATCTAGTCCCGCATCGGGCTCCCTGCTCGGCAGGGAGTCTGCTTCTCCCTCTGACCCTCCTCCCTCTCATGCTCTCTGTCTCTCATTCTCTCTCTCTCAAATAAATAAATAAAATCTTTAAAAAAAAAAAAAAGAGGGGCTTCCCCTCTTTCCTATAAAAAAAAAAGCATTTATTTATTTATTTGAGAGAGAGAGAACACGAATTGTGGGCAGAGGCAGAGGCAGAGGGAGAAGCGGACTCCCCACTGAACAGGGAGCCCGATGCAGGGCTTGATCCTAGGACCCTGAGATCATGACCTGAGCCCAAGAGAGACGCTTAAATAACTGAGCCACCCAGGCGCCCCCAAAACTATTTATTTTATCATGTAATGAGCTTCCCTATAAGATCTCATTTGACTAAATGATTGTTACTAAAAAAAATTGAAAACCCCTATCCTGGTCCAACTATCCTTTTCATCAATTAATTCATTTATTCAACCACCAAGTACTGAGCCTACCACGTGCAGGCACACAGTGGTGCTGAGCACAGGACTACAACAGCTGTTGCCCTCCTGGAACTTCAGGTGTGGAGGGAGAGACGGACATTGTACCAGTAAATGTAAAGTCTCTCCAGTGATCAGAGTGAGGCAGGGGAGCGATGAGGATATATAACTGAGGAGCCACACGTGCGGGAAGCCAGCCAGGCAGAAGGGCTTTGAGCTTGCTCCTAAAGACAACAGGCAAGCAGCGGAGTGAGAATGTCTAACCTAGATATTAAAAGGTCCCCCTGTCTGCTGAGTGGAGAATGGTTTGTAGGGAGTCAGGGAGACAGCAGGGAGGCCGATGAGGAGGTTGTGACAAGTGAGCGTTGTTGATGGCCTGGATCAGCGATACAGCAAGCTTCATGGGTGTGTGACCTGTGACTCAGAAGGGCCCCACTTGGTTTAATACCCTGTTGTCACTGTCTTGAAATTCTTAATAATTTTTTTTTAAAGATTTTATTTATTTATTTGAGAGAGAGAATGAGAGAGAGAGAGCACGAGAGGGGGGAGGGTCAGAGGGAGAAGCAGACTCCCTGCCGAGCAGGGAGCCCGATGAGGGACTCGATCCCGGGACTCCAGGATCATGACCTGAGCCGAAGGCAGTCGCTTAACCAACTGAGCCACCCAGGCGCCCCAAATTCTTAATAATTTTTTAACAAGGGGCTCTGCATTTTCATTTTGCACTGGCCCCCACAAATTACATAGCAGGCCCTGACCAGAACAGAGACAGGATTTTTCTTAAACACTCCAAGTCATAAACAGATCTTTTCCCACTGGAAGCAGCTTGTACCAGTTCCCAAGAGCCAATTGTTCAATTTTGAGGAATTATGTTGTCTTATTGGTATCTGAAATTGGCCATGCTGTGAGTATTTACACCATGGAAATCAGCAAATGTCAGGGTCTTTTTTTTCTAAAGATGGTTCTTCGTCTGTCTTTCCCAGAGTGGGTCCACTGCCCACTTTGGCAGTTAAAAATATAGTTTCTAGGCACCCCTCCCCAGACTTGCTGGGTCACCTGCTGGGTGATTCTGGGAGCCCCGTGAGCCTGGAGGGCCAGGGCAGGAAGGCCCTACACAGTGGGCCCTCAAGCTTCACAAAAGGAAAAACCGGTTTGGGGGGATTAGAAGAGGAAACTGGCAGAGGTGTGGGGGTGGCAGGTCGCGAAGAGAGCAGAAGGGCAGCCTTTGGGGATCTGTACCCTTGGGGGCCCAGCTCCAGGTCAACAACTGAAATCCCCAGACTGGGACCCACCCTCACCTTTCCATGTGGGATGCAAACACAAGGGGGAGATATCACCCACAGTGCTGCCCTCCTTTGTCAGAGTTTGGGGGAAGAGACCTCCCCAGAGGATGAGGGAGGAGCGTACACCCCCAGCACCTCTCCCTTCCGCAGCCCCAAGCAAATAAGGTGCTCAGGAAATAAGGACATTATTACCATTGTTGTCCTAATGGCCCCACCTCAAGGCTGGCTTCTCCCTTCCTCCTGCACCTCTCCTCTCACCCCCCAAGCCCCGGAAGGAGCTGGGACACACCACCCATCCCTCTCCCATCTAGTCAGATGGCCTCCTGCAGCCTCTCATCGAAGGACCCCCTCAAGGCAGGGCGGGGAGGGGATACTAAGCACACACATTCCGCGTCCCCGCCCGGGCTCCCGTTTGCTCTCACCTCTCGCTCCAGGGGTGCAGACCACCCGGGAAGAGCCTATCCGCCCCGGGCGGTTCGAGCGAAGCGCGGGGTCTCACTCCCTGGGAGATGGCGCCACCTATAGGCTCTCAGGAGCGTTGCGGCGTCCGCCCCTCAAATCCGGGAGGAGCGGGCAGAGAGGGTCCCATACTCTTTAGGGGCTTGAGGTGCGCTCCATCACTGGACGACAGCATCACATTGCCTCCCATTGTCCCCGCACCTGGAAGGAGCCCTGGCAGCGTTCCCCAAAATGTTCTGCAGAACCCACACCCTGGTCAAGAAGTTTGGAAAATGTCCCTTGGGGATTCCACAAGCACATTTGCCCCTGATGTCTGACTTAACTCTTCAGTTCCCTCAATGAGCATTGAGGCCATGGGAAAGTTATTCTTTCTAGGCCTTGGTTTCCTCATCTGCAGAATGGAGATGAGGGTGTTGAACTAGAAGAGATGATCTCAAAGGCTAGCTGGGATTCACAGACTTTAATGAGAAAGAGAATCCCGTGGAAGCATGTTTAAAATGCAAGTTCCAGGGCCCCATCTCCCAAGCAATTCTGATTGATGCAGGAATCTGCATGTTGAATCAGTCCCCAGGAAATTCTGATGCAGATGTTCTGCCAACCGCAGGATGAGAACAGGCCTTCAAGGAGGCTGGAAAAGCAGGCAGGGGCCTGCCAGATCCTGCTGGGAGGGTGGAAGCTGTGATTCTGTTTAGAGGGCAGTAGAAGCCACTGAGCTTTTATTTTTTATCTTTTTTTTTTTTAAGATTTTTTATTTGGGGCGCCTGGATGGCTCAGTGGGTTAAGCATCTGCCCTCAGTCCAGGTCATGATCCCAGGGTCCTGGGATCGAGCCCCACATCGGGCTCCCTGCTCAATGAGGAGCCTTCTACTCCCTCTCCTTCTGCTGCTCCCCCTGCTCGTGCTCTCTTAGTCTGGGTCTCTCATAAATAAACAAACAAACAAACAAACAAACAAACAAACAAACAAATAAATAAATAAATAAATGAAATCTTACTTATTTTGAGAGCGCAAGAGAGTACGAGCGGGGCAGGGAGGAGCAAAAGGAGAGGGAGAAGACTCTCTGCTGAGCAGGGATCCTGATCCGGGGCTTGATCCCAGGACTCTGGGATCATGACCTGAGCTGAAGGCAGATGCTTAACCGACTGAGCCACCCAGGCGCCCCAAAGCCACTGAGCTTTTAAATGAGAGTGACAGCTCTTTAGAAAGATTACTCTAGCTCTGGCTACTATGAAGGATTGGGGCAGAGAGACCATGGAAGTTACTGCTGAAGTTGCTCAGCTGAGATTTAATGGTGTCCTGGACCAGGTGGTGGCAATGGATGGGAAGGAGAGGGGACAGATTTCAAAGGTAAAAGCGCCCGGCTAGCTCAGTTGGAAGAGCCTGTGACTCTTGATCCCCAGGCTGTGCGTTTGAGCCTCATGTGGGGTGTAGAGATTACTTAAATAAATAAAACTTTAAAAAAAAGAGAGAGAGAGGGGCACCTGGGTGGCTCAGTCGTTAAGCATCTGCCTTCGGCTCAGGTCATGATCCCAGGGTTCTGGGATCAAGCCCCACATCAGGCTCCCTGCTCGGCAGGGAGTCTG